CTTAAAAACATTATTTGCTTTCCCCAGGAGTCTGAGCTCTTCAGTCCTAGACTTCTTACTGCCATTAGGTCAGTGGAGCTGATATGAGCTTACTGTGGATTGGCTTCACTCTGCGCATCCAGCTATTTTTCCCTCAAACCATGTGGAGAAGAAGAAATGATCCATAGCCAGCTGTAGCCTTTGCTTTTCCCCACTGTTATGTTTCTGTTCACACACAGGCCTTTAAATTTTATCACAGAATCACAGAATCACAGAATTGTAGAGGTTGGAAGGGACCTCCAGAGATCATCGAGTCCAACCCCCCTGCCAAAGCAGGTTCCCTACAGCAGGTCGCACAGGTCGGCATCCAGGCAGGTCTTGAACATCTCCAGAGAAGGAGACTCCACCACCTCCCTGGGCAGCCTGTTCCAGTGCTCCGTCACCTCACTGTAAAGAAGTTCCTTCGCACATTGGTGCAGAACTTCCTGTGCTGCAGTTTCCAGCCGTTTCCCCTTGTCCTGTCTCCACTCACCTCAAAACAGTCTGGCCTCTCCATTCTGCCCCCCACAGCTTAGATATTTATGACGCCAGCTTTACATGAAAACTGAGATTTAATTGCATCCTCCTGAATAAAATGGATAATTCCAGTGCCAATCGCACTTTTAAAGACAAAGATTACAGCTTCCACTCTACTGCCTGCATTCTTTGCCTATAAATCCCTCTGCTGATATAAAGGGATTAAATATTCTGAAATGCTAGCTGGACCAAGTCATTGTAATTTCATAAAAGCAATGAATAACACCTACATTACTTATTATTGTCTTAGGAAGAAACAAAACATGACAGGTATGCTTCTTTCAGTACACTTTGTTTTACTTTACCAAACACCATGAGGACTCAATTCAGCATACATCATGCTTATTGTCCAAATCAACTTTAACTTCAACCTCTGTCATACCTCATCGATCTAAGGCAACCTGCTAAATACTGTGCAAATGGCAGCTTTATGTGCTGAAATGAAGAACTTAAATATGATAATATTTATGTCATGGGGAAAAGAAGTTAATAAAATTGTACGGTTGCACACAAATTACTTTCAAATATCTTTTTTTTTTTTTAATTGTTTCTAGCATTCTTTGTAGGTTTTGTAATACCTTAGCAAAGACCTTGGAAATTGATGACTTTTACAGACCTGAATTTAGATACAGCATTTTATATTTCATTGATCCCATTTTATAAGCTTCCCAGGCTTACTCACGCATTTTATGCTAGCCTATACTCAGTCATAGAATACTTTACTTATAATTATTGTGAGCATAAAAATGCCAATACAGCTCACTTTCTTTTAACAGTGTACACAGACTTCTCCTCTCCCAGCCAAATGATGCTCTATAATTCCCTGAAAGAGTAACTGATAGCAAGGTCAAGTAATGTAGTTCTTATTCTTAAAAATGTGCTTCTCTGTCTCAAGTCAGCACAACCTTTCCTCAACACTGGAATTTATTGTTTGGAATTCATCTCTAATGTCCCACAGAACTGTCAAAAAAAACTCAACCAAGCCTACCAAGAGGAGGATAGAAGAAAGAGTCCTTCAGAAGGTTTCTAGGCTCAGAAAGACATGAACTCAAGAGACTGGGGTATTTGGGATAAAATGATATTTGGACACCTGAGGAGAGACATGATCATCAGAAGGACTGTAAACACCAATACTGATCTATAACCGTATTACTATTCAGTCCAGCTGCTCCTGTCCTCATCCTAATCTTGAAGCAGTTTGTGTATTTAGTATTGATTTTAGTTGTTTATCATATTTTGCAGAATTCAGACATTTTCCTTGACTACTCTCAGTAGACACGTGTGAGCTTATTATAAAAACTGTATACATATCATGATTTTTCATATACACTGAATTCAATTTGAGCCCAGTTTCATTGATGTATTTAATAATACCTCCTAAGAAGGAATATTTTAGGCAGCTGTTTACGTATGTTTCTTCAACCACTCGAACGTTAAAATCTGTAATTTAAATTTCACTATTCTGTTAAAAGAATTGAAATACATTTCATCTTGCTGATTTTGCTGTGAGCTCCTTACAATACCCTAGTGGTAGACAGTTGAATTTAACTGGAAGGTTAGTGTTCTCAGAGTAGTTTGGGAGTGGAAACCCCAGATCAGAATTCATCTATAAATGCAGTTTGTTAATACAACTACTGTAATGGGATTTTAGATATTGAATTTTCAAACTGAATCAGACTCCACTGCACTTGTATAACTTGCCATTAAATTAGTTTCATGGAGAGATTTCTGAAAATGCTCTGTACCAAGCGTCCATGCAGTAGGCTAACTGCATAAACACGGTTATTGTGTTATCAACTTTTAATATTTCCATATGGGGAATGATGAGAAGCACAAAAAATGAATGGACATCGCTAAGTTTCCTACACTGCCACAAATAGGAAAGCCTGAGTGCTAAGGTCTTGTTTGCCAGCATTCTGCTGTCTTCCAGGGTCATCAGACTGGTGAAAACAAGGTTGTACAGCAATGTTAAGCTAAGGAGTTGTACTCAGCAGCCATGTATCCATGGAAGAGTTTCTGCTCCATAGATCCTCTACTATCCCAGGAACAGCATACAAAATTCCATAATAGAACGTGCTACACAAAAAGAAAATCCTTTACTTGCCTTGGATTGAAACTATCACGCAGCACCAAATGTATCTCGCCTGCTTATTGTTAAGTTGTAAAGGGTATAGAAGTGAAGGCCTTTGGTTATGTAACAGTACTCTTAGTTAAATTATTCTGTAGCTTTTTAAATTAGCAGTTTTACGGTCTGCTTGTGTTTTGAGTTTGTTACTGTTTTTAGTTTGAGGAGTTTTGAACATGGATATTTAATTGTTTGCTGCTAGGAAAGAGAAGCCTTTCATATAAGGAGTTTTGTTTTCAGTGAGAATTCTGTGGCTCAGTTTCACACTAGTCTGACCTGAGTTTAAGCTATAAGCAGCAGTATCGTTTATTTTCTGTGGAATCAAAAGGATTGAAAACCTTACTTAGCCTTCCTCTGTGTTCTGTGCTTTACCTTAATAAAACACCATTTTGCCTTGGGCTTCCTGCTGACTGTGCTGTAATAGCTGCATCCCAAAACATGTCTGTCAGTGCATACCACATCTCTTTCTATCTAGCTTGGTATAGCTGCCTATTGAGTAACCTTCTGTAGCATCAAATGCTTACCAACACAGGAATGCTGGAGAATACCTCATCACAGAGATATCAGTGCAAGGATCCTATATTTCTCATCTTGTTTCTGTAATGATGCAACACACCTGTGTCGGGCTGTACCACACAGCTGTGGATGTTAGTGATCTTGTAATTAGGTGAGGCTGTGCTTGCAGGAAGAGATAAGAGTGAGCACATGGCTGCAAACACTCAACAGCAGATTTCTTTCATTTTTCTTTCTATCTGTAGAATGAGAGAGCTCACAGTATCAAGGAAATGTTGTATGATGAGCTATATAAATACCCCAGAGAGCCTTGGTAATAGGGAAATGTGAAAGTGTTTGCTGCAGCACTTTTTATTTAAAATTAATATTGCTTTGAATAGAGATTATCCTATATGAAATGAAAGACTATGCTTTGCACAAACAAGTTTGAAAGGAGAGGATTACTATCAAAATAAAAGCATAAAGCATGCTTGGCTGGTCAAGACAATAGAGATAGAATAGGATACAGGAATATGTGTATGTATACAAAATGGCATAAACACGGAGAAATAGAAAGAAATCACATTATAGCTGGCTGTCCAGAAAACATTTTATGCATAGTGAAAGATGTGTAATACAGATCCAAATAATAGCAAGCAAAAGAGTCTGAGTGACTGTTAAATTCATCAGAGATCAAAGCACATTTGATATTGGAGGTAGAGGAACTGCAAGGATTCTCCATGCTACCTCAACATTTTTCATTTCCTGCTACTTTCCCTTTCCTCTTAATTTTAGCTGTGGTTGGCGTGTGACATCCTAGCTCTTTTAAACTAACCTTACTGTTAAGCAAAACAGATACTGAATGCTTTTGGTTTTGTTTTTTTTTTTTTTGCAGGGGTCTTATACTCAAGTTTTTCCAGGTCTTGTTCTTTTGTTTCTTATTGCTGTTTGTGTCTTTTTGCTAATCCATTGTGCCCTTCAATCTCCAGTTCTGGTGTTACATACTCATAGTTTTCTCTTGTGTTTGTTACACTTGCACTCCATTTAATTCATCTGTGAGTTTAATGTTTAATTCACTTGTAGCTGCTCAGCTTCTCCCACTTTTCTCAGGATAATGGTCTCTCCCTTCCATGAGACTGTTAAAAATACCTGCACGTATCTGTACTTTGTAATGCTTAATTAGCCAGGTCCAACATATTTGTCTCCTTCAACTTCTTGTTTTGTCTTCTGAAATAAAACTTTTTCTCAGCATCTTTCATTAACCTGTTGCTTAACCTGTACCAAATACATGTTTCAGGTGCAGGAATTTCTCACTAACAGCTGTAAGTCTCTTAAAGCTAGAGTTCCCATTCTACAACACAGGGAGTAAAGATAACATTAACGGTATGGGGTTCTAAAGTAAATTGTGAAAATATCACAAATAACTTCTTCATCTACTACCTGATTACAAACTGGAACTGGTATCCAGGGCTTTCTAGGTTTTGGTGATTCCACAGAATCGTAGAGGGTTGGAAGGGACCTTCAGAGATCATAGAGTCGAACCCTCCTACAAGGTCACACAAGTAGGTGTTCAGGTGGGTCTTGAACATCTCCAGAGAAGGAGACTCCACAACCTCCCTAGGCAGCCTGTTCCAGTGCTCCATCACCCTCACCGTAAAGAAGTTCTGCACAAATGTATGCAAGAACTTCCTATGCTCCAGCTTCTGACCATTTTCCCCTTATCCTGTCTCCACACATTTCTTGGTTTCCTTTAACACTGCCAGCTGAAATGGATTAGACAAGGCTGAAATTAATCCTAATGCAGTCCAGGTGTGCTATTTGTGTGCTCCTTGCTCACAGTAGTGCACTGGAGTCCAGCAGCTCGCTCTTACTCTCTGAAGTTTTTTACTTGGAAGATTTCATGAAGGGAAGACAGCAGGAAAAGCAGGGTAATGGACTTTTGAATATAAAAATGTATGCGTTCAATGTTGCCTTAGAGGAGATAGTAAATTATCAGAGGAGAAACTTGAAATGGTTTTCTAAGACAAAAGTAGTATTTGTTTGTTTGTTTTTTAAATCTAAGGTGGTATAAACGTGTATGATGCTCCCTAGGAAAGTAGGGGAAGACAGATAATCTCTTCTACTGCGTGCTTGGATAAAACAAATCTGCTTTTCGTAGATTAGGAGAACACTGAATATATGATTACAAGTGCTATGGTCTCTGGTATGTTTCTTGACCTTGGCTTGGGAAGAAAGCACAATCCTCCTGAGATTCTGGAAGACTGAAATAGAGAATTGCTGATACAACAGAAGTGCTTGCTTCAAAGAACTGCTGATTGAGTGCAATGGGATAGATTTCATCTGATAGGAAGATTTTGCCCCACATGTGCTAAAACTAGATTTATTGATTGTCATATGTATTTTCATGGTAGGGCAGCCTTTGTTGCCTATGTTTCTCTCCCTGTAAAATAAGGACTGACAATACCTAATTACAGTGAATTCTCTGTTAAAAAGAAGCTTGTGAAAAACAGTTATGAAACTGTCTTGGTAAATGAGCTACCCAAGTTCTTATTTTTTTCAGGCTGACTTCAGCTTTGAGGAGATGATAATCTCTGTAGCAATTAGCTTTCATTTTATTTTCTTGTGGCTTCCCTTACACATGTTAGTGGAAGGGAATGCAGGTCACTCATCTCCTTGGAAACCAGAAGATAAAACTATTTTAGTTGTATCTGTTGCCTGCATTTTGTTAAAAATAATTTTTTGTTTTCCAAAGGATAACAGCCTAGGTAGTGAAGTATTAACCAATTTGTAATGATTTTCCATCTTACAGTAAAGTAAGGGGTCTTGCAGTGTAAGAACAATAAGAGTCTTCTTAATTGGCCAGTTCTGATATGCTTCTTTCCTCAAGCATCTTATATTCTAATTAGAAATCAAAGCATTACAAGGTGTTCCCTTTGACTCGTACTCCTGAGAGTTTATGGAGTTCCTCTCCCTCTTCTACAGCCTTTCCAGTGCAAGCTTATTTCTATGCAAATATTTTAAGTAAGTCTTGTAGAATATGTTCCTTCTGTAAAACTTAAACTGCTAATGGTAAAGAGCTCATCTATAATATATGTCACATAGTTTTTATTCCCATGGAGGTACTAAAACTGAAATGCAAGGAGAATGAACATGAGAATGTGCTAAGAATCTGGTAACGGTAGGTCAGAAGCACTTTAGCAGGCGTAACCGAAGTGCAGTGCTCTCCTCAAAAGATAGATATAATGTGACAGGTGGTTTTTACTGATAGCAGTGTGGTAACAAATAGACAGAGGCAGTCTGGGGAGTTGTATTTTTTTTTTTTTTTAAACCTCTAAGTATTTTGTTTTCTTGACTGTTTCTTGTTTATTGCAGTGTTTAACACAAGGAAAGATGGCCACATTCAGTGAGACTACTTGAGTTTGATCTATATCGTGACTGTTGACCCCGTGACTTGTTTTTGTATTTTTTAGCATACTGGGGACGTTTTCCAGTGTAATACATTCATAAGCATGCAGTGGAGTAGTACACCTACTTTGAGATAATAGAGTTGTTCCTGCAATGCAGAAAAAAATAATTCATCTTTTGATCTATCCTTGATTCTTCTCTATGTGCCACCTGTGAGAGTCTGCATAGTTAGCAGCAAAGAGCCAAGCTCTTTAACTCCCATGTGTGTTTCATACCATCCTTTGCTTATAAAGGAAAACTACAGGCTTTATTTCAGTGCTGGAATTCTATGAGGACTAAAGCAAATCTGTTTCCAAGACTGAACAGAGCAGTGAACTGGTATGGTGTCCAGCTCTGCTGGCAGATCTAAAGACTGGAAGACTGCTGGCAGATCTGGAAGTGGAATTGGGTATTTGAGAAAACTACGGAGCAAATCGTGTCAGGTGGAAAGGCATTGTAATGATATTGGAATAGTTTACATGTATTTTGTTTTTGTGACTTACTTTCCAGATCAGGATGTGGTTTGGGTTACTTCTATGTCTATATGCCCAAAAAACAACGTCTGGAGTTCAGCTTTGAGTTGTAGCCCAACACTCCTGAAGGGAAGCTTGCTGCAATCTGAAGGAAAAATACAAAGTAAGCTACTTAGCATCAATGCAAGGCTTGCTGAGGGATTTCTAGGTATTCAAACTGAGTTATCCATTGAGAAATAGGTACCAGTTCCCGTTAGCATTTAATGTTCTTCACTATTTTTCTGTGGTTAAACATTAGTAACTTTGACAGTGACAGGAATGTGCATGACAAATAAATTGTGCACAGTGGTGGTCTTTTATCCCTTACATGAAAATGTTCTGCTGTTTTGTGGGGTTTTTTTCCTGACTGATAATATGCCAAGGAATAACAAATTGTGTAGCATTACATGCAGAAAGAGATAAGCCTGTCTAAAAAATTTCCTTACTTCTGGTTTTCTAGCCTCATAATGCCAGGAAATTTTATAGAAGGACAAGACATTTTGATACACTTGTTTACAAAGCTCTCTTATTTAACTGTGTTTTCTACTAGCCATTATAAATATTTGTCCAGATAACTTTTAAAAAAAATTTATTTATTAAAACAAGGCTGCTGCAAATAGAGGAATCTAATGATAAGGGTGCAGTTCTGATGTCAACATTTAACTTAGTTCTTAAGTAAACAAAAAAAAGCTCAAATCCTAAGGCTTAAGGGAGTGTGGGGATGAGTGTTTTAAAGTAATATAACAGATTTAATGGTTTTAGTATGACAGATAATTCTTGAGAAGGGAAAATGGTCCTGCATTATGAATGACTGCAGAAGGTATCTACAAATGTTACTCAATGTCTGTAACACATGTCCCATTCATTTAAAGTTTTTCTGGCTAAATCACAGCCTTGTAGCATTAACTGAAGGAAAAACTGTTTAATGTGGAAAACAGTTAATCTCTGTTCAAGGGCTAATGCAGCTTAATGTTTGTATTACAAGTGGAAAACTAATGCTATATTGTAATGCAGTGGACTTGCAGTAAGTCAAAATTGCAAAAGATATTACCATTTCAGAGAATTATGTTCTGTTCAATTGAATGTTGATATGGCTCCTGTGGCGTGCAGCAAATCTCAAATGCGTCACTGTGTCTCAGTTGAGACTTTCAGTGAATTAATGACAAATCTCAGTAGTGTATCGTGTGTGCAAAACTGAAATAATGAACAGAGTGATCTAACGCAGAATTCTTTCATTTCTGGACATCCAGTCTCATCTGAATTGGTTAACATGGCAATACAAAGCCCAGCTTTGTATGGCTGGACTCAGGAAAACTGATAAACTGTCTTTAGAAGTTAGCCTATTCCATAACATGAGAAAGGCTTACTTTTGCGTCCTTGTAGCTAATACAGGGTTTTATTTGTATGTCCTGGCTCTTAGGAAACCATTGTTACTTGTAAAATGATATTGAGGTGCTCATCTCTGAGGAGATGTTATAGAGCTGTTAGCAAAGGCAACAAATCCAAAGACAGCTGAATAGAAATGCTGTGGAAGCTTATGAAAATAATGCAGTAACAGGTGTAAGCAGCGTGTTATTAGTTCACAGTGTTCCAGATAAAGCTGCAGCTGCCACACATTGAACTCCTCTATGCAGCAATTACAGATCCCATGGTAGAGTCTGTCTTTTCAGGTATATCCAAAAGATCAAAAGCCTGAAAGGTTTTTCTATTTTTGCAAGTGTCTGTTTTGTTTATTTATAAGTCAGTTTACAAGCTATAGTAAAGACATTTATATACTGGTGTCAATTAGATTTTTCTCTATGAAAACTGGAGAAGGCAATCGTAGAAGTGGAAATGATAGAAATCTCTTTCTCTAAGAAGTGCATAGCATGGACTTGTTGCTGCCTTTTCTGAATCAGTTGTATAATGCCATGCAATTTAATCCTGCTTCCAAAGAAATCATTTTGAACCCTTCCCTGGTTACCACTAAAACAGTTGAGTTTTTCAGGATTTATCTAATGAACCCTCCCTAGGATAACTAGTGTCAAAGTGGTTCAGCAAAGACTAAATTAATTTTTGCTGATGGCTACTGTCAGTTGTTCAGTCCTGTTAGCCATAATCACCAGAGCTCAGTGAGTGTAGTAAAAGTAGTTGCCAAAACAAAGCCTTTCTGCCTGTAGGTGATCTGATGTGTCCTTCATTTCTAGATGAAACCCTAGTTTATAGACATGCAGCTAAGAACTTTGCCTACTTTCAGTTTGTGTTTACAGCAGAAAGCAAGTGGAATTAATGATGGAATTAAAAAATGCTACATAATAGAAGTATGTTGAAATGATGATTTGAATTTCAGTTGAAGATGAATCTTGTGTACTGCATGCAGATGCAATATGCTGCAAATTGGTAGTAAGAGCTCTGAGAGTCATCGGATTAAAGTGATGCTGTGCAAGGAAATCAGAGCTTTTCATTGTTGTTGTTGTTGAGCCACACAGCAGTGCCTGCCCTCAGACATTTGGAAAACAATATTTAAGCATAGGATAGCTGTTGTTTACAAAATGCAGCAGGTCCTTGCAAAAATTTCTTACCTAATTCCCTGGCAGCATCTTGTGTGGGACACAAGTTGTAAAACTCTACTGGGAGATACTTAGAGTTTAGCTAAGAGAAATTTCATTTTCTCTATCTTGCTATCACTTTCATCCTTTGCAATCAGTGTTCAACATACTGAAGACAGAGTGAGAAGAGCAGCTAGTGTTCTTAGCTGTTAGTTTCTAACTGTGTCAGGTTTATTGAAGTTATTTCATCAGTTACTTCAGAACAGAACAATGCTCTGTTGGATGCTGCTGTTATGTATTTCAAGAACATATCTAGTTTGAGTGCATGTGAACAAGAAATTGTATTGATATTAAAATTAAAAAAAGAGGGGGATGTTTTGGACCCTACCTATAAACTTTACGCTTCTAATTAAAGAAATTTATTAAGAGCTGGAAGGAGCCTTT